AGAATGTGAACTAATGAGACATCAGACACTCAGATTATTGACGGGTGTTTGGTTTAGTGACGTAGTGTAGGTAGATTTCTAAATAAGTTGCGAGTCTGAACTGGTTGGACTGATTTTTGCACTCTCATATCCTTTTTTTTTTTCCAAAAAAGAAATTACATACGTTGAAAGTTTTGGTGGCATTACAGATATGTATGAATGTTGGAGTCGTGGTGTTCAAGCTGCCAAGGTAGCAGCAAATGGAAAGACGTGAGAGCTGCAACATGACTGCACAATAGTAGCAAGGTAATAGCACAATGGAGGTTCACATGCGCTACAAGAAATGGCAGCAAACTTCATCATTTTAGTCAATATTGTATTAGGTAGAAAATATTATTATTTTATGTGTAACCTTCCTCTATAAAAGGGATGAAGAAATTGAGTGAAAATTGAGAGAAAGAGAGCATGGTTTCTCCTCTTAGGTTGGGTGACTGTATGCACCCTTCCATGTTTATGGTTTTTATGTTCTATGTCATGTTCTAAGTTCTACTCATTTTGCTCTCTGTTTTTTCTCTCCATTTTTTCTTTTGAGCAAAAACGTTACATGGTATCAGAGCCTTTCATGATCTTTGAGGGCTTGTGTGAGAGAGATTTGAGGGCACCACAAACTTCGATTAAACCCAAATTGTTGCCAGCAAGTTTTTTCTTTCAAAATACTCTCTTTTTTTTTTCTGACCCAACACAGCAAACTCCTCTGACCAAAAATGCAGCAAAGATGCTGTGATGATGAAGGTTACCTTTAGGTCCTTCAATCTTTGAAAGTGGTTGATAAAAGGATACAACCAATTTGTTAAGGCAGAAGAGAGTATGTGAAGCTGTGAAGTTGAAGGTTAACTAAATGTCCTTCAATCTTCTTGAGGTAGAAGATCTGCAAGAAGCAAGATCAAAAAATGCTGGTTTGATGATATTTTATGTTGCTGGTATGGGTGGTGTTTTATGCTACATCATTAGTCCAAAAAGGCAAGGATGGCTTGTGAAGGTGCAAGTTGGGACCAAAAGAGTACTCACCATTGCATCAAGTCATTTTCATGACCGAGTAGCCAAATCTTTAGCCCAAGGAAGTTGTAGAAGATGAAAAAGATGATGAAGCAGCACTTTGAGGTACCAAAATCCTTGTTTTTATTAACTCAGAAAATGCAACTTAGTTGCAAAACCTCCAAAATTTGTTTGAGGTAGCAAAATCCAAAGAAGGAAAGCTGCAATGAAGAAGGAGCTGAGGTTGTTTGAGAAGGATGGTACATGGCTGTGATGAAAAAAAATGGTGAAAACCAAGCATAAGATGGACAACAAAGGGCTGATCCCAGGTGCCTAGGCATAAATCTATTTTTTCTTTGATTTTATAGCTTTAACACCAAGGAGGAGTGTTGGAGTTGTGATGTTAAAGCTGCCAAGGTAGCAGCAAATGGAAAGATGTGAGAGCTGCAACATGACTGCACAATAGTAGCAAGGTGATAGCACAATGGAGCTTCACATGCGCTACAAGAAATGGCAGCAAACTTCATCATTTTAGTCAATGTTTAAGATAGTTAATAATTATTGTATTAGGTAGAAAATATTATTATTTTATGTGTAACCTTCGTCTATAAAAAGGAAGGAAGAAATTGAGTGAAAATTGAGAGAAAGAGAGCATGGTTTCTCCTCTCATGTTGGGTGACTGTATGCACCCTTCCATGTTTATGGCTTTTATGTTCTATGTCATGTTCTAAGTTCTACTCATTTTGCTCTCTGTTTTTTCTCTCCATTTTTTCTTTTGTGCAAAAACGTTACAATGAAGACCTTCTCATCACTTCAAATTGAATCGGCTATGTTCTATTGGTAAATATATGTGGTTAACTGTTACAAATGAAAACTATACATAACAAGGGGATGCAACAAAATCAATTTGAAGTGTGTGAAAAATAATTGATACATCTTTCAGTTTAATATATCTTTGAACACTTGTCTAATTCAATTATTAAAATATAGAACAATAATTGGTATACTTTTTTATTCAACATATTTTATAACCTATTAATTAAGAAATTATTATTTTCAAATTTGAATTCAAGTAGAAAAATTTTCAATTGTAGATTTTAATGACTAAATCGGTAGAAGGATATACCAATTATTAAACTGGAGGATGTAACAATTATTTTCCTAAAATATAATATAAGAATGCTTGATTCAATTAGTTCTACCTTTATATGCATTGTTATATTTTTAAATTTATCTGTTTTTAATTTTAAATTAAAAAATAATAATTTCTAATAAATATATGCATAGTACATTAAACTGAAAAGTGTACCAATTAGTATGCTAGGGGTACCAATTAGTACCCTTTGTGTTGTCTATGCATTGCTTGTGCCTTACATGTAGTTTTAGCCTATGTTTGGTATAATTTTGATTTTTGGCTTTTAATTTTAATTGTGTAAATTTTACAACTTAAAATAAAAAAATTCATTTATTTTCATATGTTTTTGTAATATATTATCACAATTATAAAAAATTAGAAAAATAATTTTAACAAAAAACCCTGTTGTCTTTTTTTTTTTTAAATGGATATTCTAAATAACTTGAGATATTACTATAGTAATAACTTATAACTTAGATCTGAGCTTTTAAGCTCTAAATTTCAACTTTACACGTACTACTTTTAACATGTTAAAATTTTTGGAGGGAGGGAATAGGGATTCGAATTGCAATCCTAAAGGCTGTAACACGAATGCACTTCCAATGGTCTTGAGTGCACACAAATGCGAGTTTCAGTTTTATTAGTAGATTAAAAAGAAGTATATTGATTGTTATACGTTTTAATTTTATATAGTATATAATATATTTATTAAAAATTTATTATTTTTAATCTAAAATTAATAACAAATAAATTTAAAAATATAATTATACATCTAACATGTAAGAATTAACTAAATTAATTATACTTATATTATATATTAATAATAGAACCAAACAAATATCAAAAAGTCCGTCTAATTGTAAGGTATATACTAATCATTTTCCTGAAAACAATAATTGAGTAATACAATTTTCCCCAATTTTCCCCTCTCTCTCTTCATGCATGTGGGGCCACGTTTAGACACTTCTATTCCAAATGTACGTAGGATTCAAGGCGGAAGACACAAGACTCCGAAGCCTACAGGCCCGACGGTGAAAGAGAAGTTAGCTTAAAAATGAAGCTGTGTATTTATGTAGAGGTGCAAATCTCAGTCTGCATTTTCTAGTTAAGAGATTTTCCCTTTTGTCTCCAGTTTCAGAATTAGTCTGAAGAACTCTTATTATTAACTTCGTCTTTCAAAAGCAAAACTTCTTTATGATATCATTTTAATATTATTGAAGATTTTAAATTTAAATAAAAAAATTTATGAAAAATTAACTTTTTGTTAAAGAAATTAAATATTCAAATCCCCTTTCAACTATCCCACTTCCCTGGGGTTAAAGTCTTTTATTGGTAATTGTATTTGTAACGTCTCCGTTTTCGATAAAACCTTTTGGTTTATCGAATAAAAAAATGTACTACATAAGATGAAAAAAAATATATATTTATAGAAAAAGATTGCAATGAAATAAAAATACTTTTAATATAAAATATTTTTTTTATGAAAAAAACTTGTTTTCAAATCAATTTAAAATTTCATAAAAAGAAAATCAATGACCTATAAATGAAAACTAATTTAATGAAAAATATATTATGGAAAATATCAAAATATTTAAAGTCATAAAATAAACTAGATTAAGCCCATTTTAATTTATGTAAATATTATATACATAAAAGTAATTAACACAAAAAAAAAAAAAACATGAGAGCAAATACTTTTTAAAAACTTTTCAAAATAATAAGAGTAAAATTATTGTTTTGGTAACATATTAATCTGCCTTCACATTACCAACCCTGAGGGCTTAGCTTTTACGTACAAGGGGACCTATATTGAAAGCTCTTAAGTTGAGTGACTGCTACTCCATTCTACTAATATGAAATTAGGGGAAATATCATGAACTAAAAGTTCAGTAAGTATTGAGTTTAAGTTACAAACTTGGGTTTCAAGACCCTTAAACCTGCACACAGACAATTAAACCAAGTCACATAATATTATAAATCTTAGTATTTAAATAATAATGTAATATCACAAAGTTGTTCACAATCAATCAAACATGTTAACGAATATCCAATGACATTTGAATCAAATCTATATCGTAAAACCATGCTCATAGATGTGACATAATGCATAAAACAAAAATCACACAATATTATGAAGTTTATTGATATGTGCTAGTAACACTTGTACCAATACTAATCACGACACTCACCTTACTGTGTAGAGGTCCACTAAATACCTTAAGCTTTAGGCTTAAGTCCACTTACTCCATAGTCACAAACACATACAAATGTTCAATAAATTCAAAATACTTTTAAAATAATATAAAAATATTATTTCATTTATGTTTCACAAAATCAATTCCATTTCTAAAACAATCCACTTTAAATATCCCATCCAAAGTCATGGACTGCACTCCAAATTTCAAATAAACATATGGAATTATTTTGCTATATTGAATCGTAAGAAAATCACCACACAAAGCAAGCACATGGAGTCCACAGTAGTATTTATTAATAAAATTTACAATAAACTCAAGTATGAATAATAAACACATCGTGGATTCATTCTCGTACAAGCCCCGAAATATCGTATGTCTCTAACAAAATTTGTAATGCCCAAAAAGTCTCTTAAACTAAGTTTTAAAGTCAAATCTCACTAATTTAGACTAATTTCTAGTATATTATAGTAGATCTATAACCTACCCAAAAGTCTAACCCAAATGTCTAACTAAAACTCATATTTACTTGAAAATCAAAGCACCAAATTGAAGGGAGCAACAGAAATTTAAAAGGGGTCCAATTGGAGAGCGCGTCTCTACACATCACACTTGGCTGGACAGGGATAGAAAAGTGCAGGGGACTAGCTATTTTGGAAAGGAAAGATGCAAAGGAATGGTTTGGGTTCGGGAGGCTTAAGGCAAAAAAGGGGTTTTCTTTTCTAAAATCTTCCAGAAGAAGCTTGGGTGAATTGGTTATCATATTGTCACATGTCTCCAAATTTGGCTAAAATAGTTAGATAATCTCTAACTATCTAAAGATTTCATATAAGGTCTACATATTCTAAATCAAATCAATTTAGTCCCTAAAATGTTAAAATAAAGGATTATAATTTTTAATCTATTCACTAAAGTATATACGATGTTACAGTATACAACATTCACATTGTTTGCCAAATAAATAAATAAATAAGGCCTGAATATAGTCACGTTAAGTTTATAATTTTACTATTCGAACTACAAAATAAGAATTATCTAATGGAAGAAGACTCGCCCACTTGCCTCCTTTAAATAGTTATTATTTTTGTGTAATCCGGTTTCCATACCACATTTAGAACCAAAATTTTTTTGCAAATACATCAATTCTAGGCTCTCAACAATCTTGATTAAGTTGTTTCAAAGTTTGTTATTAGATAGGACAATGATTAATATACTCTTTAGTTCAATACACTTAACAATATTCTTTGATTCAATAATTAAAAAACTAATATTTTTAGTGATTGAACCAATGAATATTATCAGATCTCTTAAACCAGAGGGTATACCAATCATTTTCTTATTAGATATGTATCATCAATCAATTAAAAAGCTAACACCAAGAACTATAAACTGTGAAACTCCCAAACTATGTATATAATTAAGGAGGGAGAAAAGGCCATATAACAATGAGCATAATAATAATGATCAGGGACTCTACTTAATTAACTGTGCAGAAGTAGATCACTTTTTCTCCAAACTAGCCGGTGGTCGAACCAAATTATCTGCATTTCTCGTTGCTCAAGCTTCGTGTTGTAGATCTTGACCTTCTCATCAAAATTGAATATTTCCGTTCTTCCATTCAAGGGTTCATAACATTTATCATTCAACATTGGGACCTTGTCTGCCAATTCACTTGCAACTAAAGGAGAGCCGCTACCAATCTTATACTTTAAAAATATCATCCGGTTACCAGAATTAGAATCTTTTTCATTGATCCAGCTTTTCTTTATGAAATCATACCTCCAAATTCGCGCGATGCCATAATCAATTACACAGCAGTAGATCTGTACTAGTACTAGATCACACAAACTTGCATTTGTAGAACTTAGGCCTTGGACCAAATTGTTCCAGAAATTCCCACTGTTGAAGTTGAAGGTTAAGAACGCCCACTTCTCCATCTCTGAAGAGACAATAGAAAGATCCTGTTAAATATATTGCATCCACAGGATATAAATAATCTTCAGTCTCCAAGAAATATTGACTTCCTGAGCGTTTTACAAGTTCGAAACTCTTCCAGGTGTTATCACCAACCCTACGTGTCTTGATCCCTGCACTGTTCCATTTTCGCCAACGAACGAAATCCATACATTCTGGACAAATAAAACTCATGGAAAAAGTTGCAACGTCTTTGTACTCCCAATAAATGTTCTCCAGCTTTGGAAGATTAATTACCTCTCTGGTTAAAGGAGAGAACAAGAATGTCTGGCCAACAAAAAATCATCATCACGATGGACTCTAGCTCTAATGTTGCGTAAAAGCAACCAACCTAATCTCTAACACCAAATGGTGGTATAAGCGGAAGTATGTATCCCTTCATGAATTCTGTAGCGTTTATTTTTCATAGGATCGAAGAGCTGCAATTGAGAAACTCTATGTTGATCTTCCTTGTCATGCTTGTATACCAAACTCAACAACCATGGAAGCTCTGGATCAACAGGAAGGCCTCGTGGCACAGACACAAACCAGCTGGTCGTGCAGACGAAGGGGAGGTGGATCCGATCCACCCAACAAAGTTTCTTCATGATGTAAAAGCATTTGATAAATATCAAAGATCATCAGGTTTAAATGTTGTCCGTGATTCAAGGCAATATGATTCAAGCAAGGCATCAAGTTTAAATGCTGTCCATGATTCAAGCAAGGCATTTGATTATCAAAATCATAGCAAATCAGAATTAATTGACTCCAGCAAGAATCCAACAATTAATCTCCAAGATAATAGGAAGATGCAATCAACCATTAAGGCTTCAAATTAGTGATTTTAACCAACGGCTATTTCTGCAATTAGTGTAATTAAGATTCAAATTTCATCTTGTAATTATATATAAATGGAAAACTACAACCACTTCTTGCATCTTGCAGAAGGGTTTTTCCTCACAAATCTATTTGTTCACTTTATCCAACTTGGTATCAGAGCTCAGGTTCTACCCTAAGAAGCCAATTGTTAACCCACCTGACAGGACTCGAAGTTGATACTGGGCCTGTATTTAAGGGGGCGTGTTAACCGACGTGACAGGACTTGACATTCATACCAAGCCTGCACATGAGAGGGTGTGTTAAATGGGAAAATCCCATATCGAGTATAAAAATGTGGGTTAAATACAAAAAAGGCTACTCTACCTATTACCAATTGGTTTTAGGTTGGATGCAAGCCTTGTGTTGAGCCAACATACACAATTTTCAAAGCAATGAAGGTGGAGAATTTGGAAGTAATAATTTTTCCTCATTGTTAGGTAAGTTAGGCATTTATCATCAATCTGCATGTCCAAAGACACCAGAACAAAATGGAGTTGCTGAGCGAAAACACCGCAATATTACTAAGTTATGACTTACTATGATGTTTCATGCTAATATTCCTTCTAAATATTGGGTTGAATGTTTTAGCACAGCTGTGTTTCTAATCAATAGATTGCCATCTCCTACATTAAAAATGGACTCACCATATTTTTGTCTTTTTCAGAAGCATCCAGATTATAGCTCCTTACATGTTCTTGGGTGCAAGTGCTTTCCATTTTTGGGGGATTACCAAAAGAATAAGTTGGAACCTAAATCACTTCCATTCATTTTTCTTGGATATAGTAGAAAGCACAAAGGTTATAAATGTCTATATCCCCCAACAAATAGAATCTTTGTCTCACGTCATGTTGTCTTTGATGAAATGCAGTTCCCTTTCAAAAATCCATGCGAACTATATGATACAAGTAAAATTGGAGGAGAGCTGTCCACATACAATGAATGGATCGAGACTCAACTGGAGCAAGAGACAGTAAATCACTCAAACCTTCACATCTCTGATCCATCCTTAATTTCTTTGCCACAGGAAAGCTCTACCCCGATTGAACAACTGGAAATGAACTGCGGCTCGCAAGATGACAATAGGCTTAATGAATCACCAACCACAGAGACCATGGAATCAACAATAACCCAGCCGCCCGAGTTGACTCAATCTCATGATGTGAAATCATGCACTAGACAATTGAATCCATCTCAAGATGGCCATCATGATGATGATTGACCTTCCATACACGTGGAAATGGAGACAAATCAAAATGGTGCTCAAAATTCAAGCCTCCCTTCAAATAATTCTGATGATCAATTCACGAGTTCCAACAGACCAGAAGCTGAATTGTCTCGCACTCATAACATGGTTACTCGAGCTCAACGGGGAATCACTAAGCCGAACCCTCGATATGCCTACCTTCACAAAGAAATTCCAAGAGAACCAAAAACCGTGATATCAGCGTTGAAGAATGATGGGTGGAAAGTTGCCATGCATGAAGAACTACATGCTTTAAAAATAAATGATACATGGGATCTTGTCCCAAGGGAGGCTCACATGAATGTAGTAGGCTGTAAATGGGTTTTTAAAACCAAGTTAAAACCTGATGGGAACTTGGATTGCCTGAAAGCTCGATTGGTTGCCAAGGGATTTCACCAAATTGAAGGGTTTGACTTCTTAGAAACTTTCTCTCTTGTTGTCAAACCAGCAAGCATACACATTGTCATCACTACGTCATGCATGAAAGGTTGGACAATTCGACAACTTAATGTTAAGAATGCATTCCTCCATGGGTATCTTTCTAAACCAGTATATATGAAGCAACCTCCTGGCTTCATTGACTCTATGCATCCTTCTCATGTGTGCCGCCTGAAGAAAGCTTTATGTGGACTTAAGCAAGCTCCAAGAGCCTGGTTTGATCGTTTAAACAATTTTTTCTTAAATTTTGGTTTCTTTTGTAGCATCACTGACCCTTCACTTTTTATTTGCCACTCATCACAAGGTACACTCTTACTTTTAATTTATGTTGATGATATGCTTTTAACTGGAGATAATTCTAATCTTGTGCAGTGGTTTCTTAAAGAACTTGGTCGTGAATTTGCTATCAAGGACCTTGGATCTATCCATTATTTTCTTGGAATAGAAGCCCACATGACCAAAAATGGGTTATTTCTTTGTCAAGCAAAATATGCAAAAGATCTCCTCCACCGAGCCCAAATGGATGGGTGTAAGCTTATATCAACACCAATGGCAACCAAGGATCGAGCCATAACCGATGATAAGTTGTTCCATGATCCCACTTTCTATAGAAGTGTAGTAGGTGGCTTACAATACTTAACTTTGACTCATCCTGATAACTCATATGCTGTTAACTTTGCATGTCAATTTATGCATGAACCAACCATGGGGCATTTTCGAATAGTTAAACGCATTTTACGTTACATAAATGGTACTATTGATTTGGGATTAAATATTACTTCACAAGCTACTTTCACTCTTTATGCCTTCTCTGATGTTGATTGGGCAAGTTGTCCTATTACTCGTCGCTCTACAACAGGATATTGCACCTTCCTTGGAGGAAATTGCATTTCTTGGTGTGCAAAGAAACAACCAACTGTTTCTCTTTCAAGTGCAGAAGCTGAATATAAATCGATGGCATCTACAATAGCTAAGATAACTTGGCTTACTTATCTACTCCGAGATATTGGTATAGACATCCCCAATCCACCAATCCTCCACTGTGATAATATAACTGCCTTGCACATGACCATCAATCCTGTGTTTCATGGGCGCACAAAGCATGTCGAGATGGACTACCATTTTGTTCGGGAAAAAGTAGCCTTTGGAAATCTTGTAACTCGTTATGTGTCGTCATCGTCTCAACTGGCAGATATCTTCACCAAGCGTTTACCAAGAACCTCGTTCAATGAGTTACGAACCAAACTTGGCCTATCCCTTCTACCTCGACCAAGTTTAAGGGGGAGTGTAAAAGCATTTGATAAATATCAAAGATCATCAGGTTTAAATGCTATCCGTGATTCAAGGCAATATGATTCAAGCAAGGCATCAAGTTTAAATGTTGTCCATGATTCAAGCAAGGCATTTGATTATCAAAATCACAGCAAATCAGAATTAATTAACTCCAGCAAGAATCCAGCAATTAATCTCCAAGATAATAGGAAGATGCAATCAACCATTAAGGCTTCAAATCAGTGATTTTAACCAACGGCTATTTCTGCAATTAGTGTAATTAAGATTCAAATTTCATCCTGTAATTATATATAAATGGAAAACTACAACCACTTCTTGCATCTTGCAGAAGGGTTTTTCCTCACAAATCTATTTGTTCATTTTATCTAATTCGTGATCCTTTGGATAATATTTGGTGGGACATTAGACCAATGCCAGCTTCGGGTTACTTTCTTTCTCTTGAAACTGGCCATTAGGGTTTTTCGATCAAATATCAAACTGTATTGGGGGATTTTTTTTTTTTTTTTTTTTAGGGTTTTTTTAGGTGAGGAAAGTTTACTTTTACACTTTATTTAAATTGAGAAAGTTAAAGGAGATGGAGAGAAGAGTGAGGTTTGGATAAATCATTTTAATGAAGGGGAGGAAGATGGAGGAAAACAAAACCCCCTCCTCTTTTTTGTTTTCAATCCTTCCGATTTGGAAGAATTGGACAGATTATATTAAGTAACTTATTTTTGTATTTAACTTTTTTTTTTAAATAAATATATAAAAATATTTTATTTCAACTATTTATTTAATTAATAAATTTTAAAATTTTTATT